TGGATCACACAGCGAAGAGGAAGTAATACATCATGAGGGTAGAAAGTTACATTGAGGCCATGTTTTTGAATATTAAACAGGGTAGTTTATGTTTTATCCTAGAAGTAAAATAGGGCCACTGGGGTTTATTGAGCAATCAGTTCTGCACCCATTGACAACTCTGTGGAAGACAGATTACAAAGGGGATACATTTGAGACAGTGAGATCAATGAGGAGTCTTGTACAATAATCTAGGTGAGCATTGATGAAGGTCTGAAGTAAGGGGGTATCAGAGTGAGTAGAAAGAGTAGGTCAGATGCAAGAGAGGGAGGGGTTGACATGCATACATCTGGTAACTAATTGGATATTTAGAGTGAAGGAGAGTGAAGAGTTGAGGATGACAGTAGGTTATGAGTGTAATCAACATAAAGAATGGTTGTTCCTTAGACAGAAAAAAGGAAGTCTAGAAGAGGGGAGAGTTAGAGAAAAAAAGATGATGAGTTCTGTTTTACACACATAAAATTTGAAATACCTATGCATTATCTAGTTTGAAATGTCCAATAGGGGAGGGCAAAGCCAGGACAGTAGAGTAACAGGAAATGTAGCTGACTCCACACAACTCCAACCCAACTCCACAAAGATCTGGAAAATGCACTGGATTGAGTCCTGATTGGGAAATCTAGGGGGAAACAATCACAGTGAGTCATATTTTTGACCCCAGACATCCTAGGGAAACTGAGAGACCTGCAGACAGTGGGGATGAGGACTGGCCAGCAGTGTGCCACATGAAGCATCCCAGTGTTCAGGGCAAAAAGAGGTCCCAGACCTATTTAGATTTCAGAAAAAGAAATTGGACCACCTATAAATGAATGCCCAAAGGGAAAGAAAAGAAAACAAACCTATCACCAGAACAATTTCCAAGAAATTAGATTAAACATTTAAAAAAATGAATTCCAATATTACATAAGCTGTTTAGAAAAAAATAGGAAAATAAAAGGTTTCAAGATAGTCCTTCAATGGCACAAACATGGTATTAATACCTAAACCATGGAGGGTCAAATACAGAAACTATAGACCAATATCCCTAAAGAATATTTATTAAAAAACATTTTAATCAAAATATTAGCAAGGACTCTACAGCAATATATCACAAAGATTATACTCTAGGACCACAGATTGGATTTGTACCAGTAATACAGGATTATTTTAATATTTGGAAAACTATAAACATAATTGACATTAATAGCACAAACAACATAATTATATTATTATATCAATAGATACTCAAAAAGGCTTTGACAAGATAACACACATTTGTTAAAAAAAAAATTAGAAAGCATATGAATAAAAGGATCTTTCCTTAATTGTTAAGTAGTGTATATATATGTATATGTGTGTGTGTGTGTGTGTGTGTGTGTGTGTGTGTGTGTGTGTGTGTGTGTGTGTGTGTGTATATATATATATATATAAAACCAAGAGTCAGCATTATCTGTAATAGAAGATTAACAAGAGGCTTTTCTCATAGCATCAGGCATGAAGCAAGATGTCCACCATTATCATCGCTATTTGATATAGTACTAGGAATGTTAGCTTTAACAATAAAACAAAAGAAGGAAATTGAAGGAAGAAGCATAGTAAAAAAAAAAAAAGAAACAAAATTATCTCTTTTTTAGACAACATGATGGTTTAGAGAACTCTGGAGAGTCAACTGAAAATCTAATTGAAATTATAATAATAGCTAGCATTTATATAGTGATTTAAGCTTTGCAAAGCACTTTAAAAATAATTATCTCATTGAAACAATTTAAAACTTTAGCAAAATTGCAGGATATAAAATAAACCTACATGAATCACCAGCACTTCTGTATGTTATCAACAAGATCCAGCAAGAAAGATAGAAAGAGAAGTTCCACCTAAAATTACTAAGGAAAATATAAAATATTTGAGAATCTACATATTCATAGACATAAACAACTGATAAGAAACAGAACATTTAATAATAGAGTATACAGATACTCAGCAGAGAGTAGCAAATGAATCTAGCAACCTACTGATAAACCCAAAGATTCCAATTAAGGGGGCAAGAACTCACTATTCAACAAACACTGTTAGGAAAACTGGAAAGCACAGTGACAGAAAGTAGGTATAATTCAACATCTCACATCATATGCCATATACACTATACCAAGATAATTTCCAAGTGGGTACTTGGCTTAGACACAAAGGGTGACATCATAAACAGATTAGAAAAGCAAGGAAGACATAGCATCTACTGATAGTGGGAAAGTCCATGCCCAAATGAGAGATAAAGATGATCACAGTAGATAAAATGAACAATTTTGATTATATAAAATTAAAAAGATTTTGCATGAAATTCAGCTAAAATTATAAAAAGTCAGATAAAAGGGAAAAAGAATATTTGCATCAAGTTTCTCTGATAGTCTCATTTCTGAGATATGGAGAGAATTATTCAAATTTTGACAATAAGATCCTTTCTCTATTTGATAAATGGTTAAATGATATTAAGATGCAGTTTTTAGAGGAAGGATTCCAAGCTAATAATAGCTAAATGAAAAAAGATGTTCTAAATCATTAAAGTAGCAAAATGTGAATTAAAACAATTCTGAAGTACCATCTCATGCCCTTCAGATTGGCAAAGTTGACAAAAAAGGAAAATGACAAATGCTGTCGGGGTTATGAAAACAGGTACATTAATACACAGTTGGTGGAACTGTGAACTGGTAGAGCCATCCTGTAAAGTAATTTGGAAGTACACCCCAAAGGCTATTGACCCAGTGATACTACTGCTTTTAAGCTTATACCCCAAAGACAACAAAGATAGAGGGAAATAAACTATACACACCAAAAAAAGGGATTTATAGTAGTTTTTTGTGTGGTGACAAATAATTAGAAACTGACTGATGGGGTGCCTACAAACTAGGGAATGGGTGGACAAGTTACAGCTGTAAATGTGATAGGAAACCACTGTGTTGTAAACATTTGACGGAAATAGTTTCAGAGAAACCTGTGAAGATTTATATGAACTGATACAGAGCAAAGGGAGCAGAACCAAGAGAACAATTTGTACAATAATAACAATATTGTAAAGACAAAAAATTATGAAAGATTTGGGAGTACTTATCAAAATCAATGATGCATCATAATTCCAGAGAACTCATTATGAAACATACTGCCTATCTCCTGATAGAAAAGGATGGATTCAGAGTATGGAGTTGAGATATTTTATAGGCATGGCCAATATAAGAATTTGTTTTGCTTGACCATACATACATGTTTTTGACAGAGGTTTTGTTTTCCTGGCTATCTCAATGTGGGTGGGAAGAGATAGGAGCGAGAGAGGGTTGATTTTCATTAGAAAATAATTAATTAATATAAAAGGAATTGCAGGATTGATGCTCGAGAGAAACTGGGGCTAGATATATTAATAGAACTCTGAGTTATCTGCAAAGAATTGACAGTTATACCCATGGGCACTGTTGAGGTCACTGAGGGAGTATTGAAAGAAAAAATAAGAGGGCCCAGGCCAGAGTTGGTAATATCTACAGGCCATGACACAGCTGATCTTAGAGTGGAAGGGACTGAGGAACAGAAATGGTAAGTGACTTGTCCAAAGTTAAGTTTCAGAGTCAAGTTTGAATTCAGGCTAACTTCAGATCCAGGGAGCTTTCCATGATATCAGATATTTTGTAAAAATATCTTTCTAAGCACAATGCCCATTTTTCACATGGCTATACCTGAGCAGATCACTCTTATTTTAAAGCATAGCAGTATTTCAACACATCAACACCATATTTGAATCCCCTTATGCCATGTCAAAACATCATCATTTTTCAAAAAAATGGAAGAAAAATCCTCACACTCAAGATACTGGTGCTTATAGACCATAAGTCTTGGCCTGCATTCTGGCTTCCTGAAACTATGTATGTTTATAGAAGCCAGAAACAGATTCAGCCAAGATCAGTTAGGGACTCCCCAAATGGTTTTAAGATATCACTTCTCTAGTAAATATCAATTTTAGTATAACTAAAAATTGATGAGTCTGGCAGGTAGCGCAGCAGATAGAGCACTGGATTGGAAACAGGAAGACTCAAATTTAAACCCTGCTTTAGACACTTATTAGCTGTATGATTCTGGGCAAGTCATTTACCTCTCTCAATCTCCATTTCCTCACCTGTAAAACAAGGATAATAATAGAATCTATCTCCCAGGGGTGCTGTGAGACTCAAATGAGATAATATTTGTGAAGTGTTTTGCAAACTTTAAAATAACTCTGTAAATGCTAGTTATTATTATTGTTGCTGTTGCTATTTTTATAAATTAAGTTGTTTCTTTGAGAGGCAGAATGATATAGACTCAGAAGACCTGAGCTTATATCCTAATAGCTTCAATTTCCTCATTGGTAAAATGGGGATAATATTGCTGGCTCTGCTTACCTCACAGGGCTGGTGTAAGAAAGCCTTAAAGAGATATATTTTGAAATGTGAGTTTTGCTTCTGGTAGGCTTTGGTCTTTCCCTTGCCTATCTCATTTTGTATTCTGATTGTATTTTAACCCTTTCTGTGTCTCAGACCTTACCTAGACTTACAGTCTCTTTACAGCTACATATTCTTTCTCTCCATTGCTCCCAAGGCCAGTTCATCACAAGGTCCCAGTCACTGCTCATGTTTGTGATTTTCTGAGTTCTACAAGCTCCAGGATTATATTTCAGCTAAATTCTGCATCTCTCTTAGAAGCCAGAATAAGCTTCTACATACAGCAGACACTTCATGAATGTATGTTGGCATTATAGTGATAATGTGCTCTGGTAGGCAAAAAAAGAACCAGGCATGTATGAAATATTATGTTTTGTTTAATTAAAAGTATTCCTACTTACTTTTTTGACTAATCTGAACATGGCCTTCAATTAAGATGATGATTTAAAACATCAATGGTGGTAAAATGACTTTTAGAGTATTAGGCCAAATCAGCATGGGAATCCTCTAGGTGCATTGTATACTCACATTTTCTGATCGCAGCTTCTTGGCTGGACACCCACCATCTATAGGGTGGAGCATGTAATAAAGTCGGACTTTGCTTGCATGTTTTCGACTCTGTGAAAGAAAATTGAAAGTGTACGTGGGTGAAAAGGGGTTCCATAAACATGGCAAGATAAAAACAAAAATACCAGTGAATTGTAAAGACTATAGTCAGAAGATCTCAGTGCAAGCCCCAGATCTGCTACTTGTTGTCTCTTATGACCTTGGTAAAATCACTGAATCCCTTTTTGGTCTCAGTTTCTTTATCTGAAAAATGATGGAGTCCAAGTAGATGTCTTCTAAAGTCTTTTTGTAATTTGACATTGCACATCCTTTTTGTTTCTTGGAAAGCACTTCCCCCCCCACACACACACACACTCTTTCTCACTTGAGTGGCACATTGGATAGAGCACTGGACCTGGAGTCAGGAAGACCTAAGTTCAAATCCAGACTCAGATATGTATTAGCCGGATGACTGGGCTGTCACTAATTCAGTTTTCTTCATTGTAAAATGGGGGATATTACTAGCACATACCTTCTAGAGTTGTTGTCAGGATAAAATGAGATGATATTTGTAGAGTACTTTGCAAACTTTAAGGTGTTATATAAACTCTGCCAGCTATTATTAGCAGTGGTACTTAGCACAACATCTGGCACAGAGAATGTACTTAATAGCAGTTTATTGATTTTATTATTAATATTTTACATTCATAACAAGCCCATGAGGTAGTTAGTATGGGGAGTATTGTTCCAGCTTTACAAGAAGAAGCCATGAGTGGTTCAGTGACTTATAAAGAAACACACAAATAATATAATTTCAGAGTTAGAAAACAGAAACAACATGGAAAGTTGAAAACAATTGAGATATTTTTCCTTTGGAGAAGAAATGGCTAGAAATAGGGGAAGGAAATTTGTTATCTGCTTTGAAATGTATGACGAATTGCTGCATTAAAAAATGATAACAAATGGTGGTTAAATACCATAAATTTATGGTTCTTCTTAGAGCTTCCCAGCCATCAACTTGGGAGGTGTCTTCTAGGAGCTGCTTTCTTATACAAGATGCCCTTCCCTCCAGGACCTTCGGGTAGAAAGAATACTGGACTTGGAATCAAGATACCAGAGTTCAAAATCCAGTTCTAACATGAGTTCCTTGTTCTTGGGCAAGTCACTGTTCCTTTGAGCTTTAGTATTTTATCTGGAATCATCACAGAATAACACTACTTATATTACCTAGTTCATAGAGTTATTGGAAGGAAAATGCTTTATAAATATTGAAGCCCTATACAAATGTAATACTATTATTTTTTACTTGTCCCCAGTGCGAAGATATTGAGAGACAATGGGGGAATGCAACTTTAAGTAGGTGGAGAAGATGCAGAGTCAAATTATGTCCATCTTGAGAGGTATGTAATCCAAGATCTATTGCTCCCTCTATAAAACTGCTTGAGCTAAAACCTGTCTCTACCTAATAATAATATCTGGCTTTTATATAGTAATTTCCATTTTGCAAAGGGCAATACTCACATTATCTCATTTGAGCTTCACAAAAACTACAGTAACTATTATCTCCTTTTTGCAGGTGAGCAAACTGAGGCTCAGAGAAATTATTTGATTTGAGCATAGTCACATAACTAGTGTCAGAGATAGAATTCACACCTGAATGATACTGATTCAAAGTCCAGAATTCTGATCATTTAGGAGGGAACTTCCCAAAGAATTCACCTTAAGAAAGCTCTATACTCATTTCCCCTGAGAGCCAGTCATAAGCATAGTCCAGTCCCAGAGGGCACATGGATCTGCACCTTTTTCATCTGAGAAGCAGAAACCATGAAAGATCGTTTTTTCATATGGTTACATCCAAGAAAAAAGGTAAATTAATCCATGCTTGAAAATAATCCCAGCAGTGTGACCAATGAAACAAAACAAAACCTACTGGCTTTGGAGGCAGAGGAACAGGGACTAACTCCTGTCACTATCATGTGCTACCTACATGACTTCTTTGGGCCTAAGCTTACTTGTCTATAAAATGAGGGTTTTGAGCTCGATGGCCTCCAGGGTCCCTTCAAGCTCTTAATCTATGATTCTATGATCAAGCCAACCAAAGGACTGGTGATTAGAAAGGATGGGTTATACCAGCCCACATATCATATGGAGTTTCATTTGGGCAAACTAAGACTTCTGTGACTGCAGGAATTTTCCCCTCCATGGTATTCAAAGAATTTAAGTCTTAGAAGAGACCGTAGAGGTCATCTACTTCAGCACTCATTTTTCAGATAACAACGAGTCTCAGAGATTTGCCCAAGATCACAGAATTAGTGCAGAAGTAGACTCCAATCCAGATCTCTTTCCAGTACAGCATTCTTTATCCTACACTAAAACGCCATGTAAAATGAGCCACAAGTCCTAAGCAATTTTCTGTACTTCTAGCTCAACTTAAAGAAAACTATAGACTTTCAGAAGGAAATTTCATTGGTAACCATTTTGGCTGAGTTTGGAGATCTTTCCACACTGTACTGGTGACAATCCTTAAAAAAGAGCTATGCAATAGAGGATCCTAGAAAGGATATCTCTAGAATGAGATTCAAGAAAGGATACTCCCTCAATTTTAAAAAGTCAGGTTCTCTTAATCTTATATGCTGGAAATCTTTGAGGCTTTCCTCATGACTCTATATGTGTATATGGAAAGGATTTCAACAGTCAGTGATTACAGTTCATAGTTGACTGAGAATTTCCTCTTCAACAAGCCCAATTATTACAATAACAGGCCTTTATTTATATGTTTATGTGACTCAAATTACCTCTTGGATTTTTTGCCTGTCCTCTTCAAGAAAGCTATCCTTAATAACAAAGAATTTTTAAACAATTAGTATTTTCAAGGAGGAAGAAAATGAAAACAAATTCACAAAACTGATCAACATTTTGAAACTATCTGATTTGACAGCTATGATAAGCAGTCACCTAGTCTTCAGTTGAATACTTCTAGTGATGTGGAATTCGCTATCCACTAATGGAGTTCATTCCACTAAAAAGTGTTCAAATCAACTAAAAAAACTAGTTGAAACAAATAACAACTTCAGCAAAGCTAAAGGATATAAAATAAAACTACACAAATCATCAGCATTTCTATATACTACCAACAAAACCCAGCAACAAGAGATAGAAAGAGAAATTCCATTAAAAATAACTATAGATAGTATAAAATGCTTGGGAGTGTACCTGCCAAGACAAACCAAGGGATTATATCAACACAATTATGAAACACTTTTCCCATGAATAAAGACAAATCTAAGCAATTGGAGAAATATTAATTGCTCAAGAATAGACTAAGCCAATATAATAAAAATGACAATTTTGCCCAAGTTAATTTACTTATTCAGTTCCATACCAATCAAACTACCAAAGATTATTTTACAGAGCTAGAATAAATGGTAATAAAATTCATGTAGAAAAACTAACGATCACGAATATCAAAGGAATCAATAAAAAAAATGTTAAGGAAGGTAGCCTATCCATTCAAAATTTTAAACTATATTATGAAGTGGTAATCATCAAAGCAACTTGGTGCTGGCTAAGAAATAGAGTAGTGGACCAGTGGAACAGATTAGTTACACAAGACATAGTACTAAATTGCCACAGTAATCTAGTGTTTGATAAACCCAAAGATCAAAGGTTTGGGGGTAAGAACTCAACATTTGACAAAAATCACTAGGAAAATTAGAAATCATTTTGACAGAAACCAGGTATAGATCAATATCTCCTACTGTATACCAAGATGAGGTCAAAACGGATAAATGATTTAGACATAAAGAGTGATAGCATAAGTAAATTAGAGGAGAATAAAAAATGTACTTGTCAGTTCTATGGATAAGGGAAGAGTTTACAGCCAAACAAATGATAGAGAGGATCATGGGAAGTAAGATGGATAATTTTGATTACATGAAATTAAAAAGCTTTTGCAAAAACAAAACTAATGCAGCCAAAATTAAGAGGAAAACAAGAAACTGGAAAAAATGTTGCAACAAGTTTCTCTGATAAAGGTTTCCCTTCTCAAATATATAGGGAACTGAGCCAAATTTATACAAATAAGACCTATTCCCCAATTGATAAATGATTAAAGGATGTAAATAGATAATTTTCAGAAGAATTAAAAGCTATCAATAGTCACATAAAAATTTCTGAATTACTACTGAATAGAGAAATGAAAATTAAAACAAATCTGAGATATCACTTCACACCTATTACATGGCTAATATGATGGAAAAGAAAAATGACAAATGTTAAAGGAGATGTGGAAAAATTGGGACACTAATGCACTGCTGGTGAAGTTGTGAACTAGTTCAACCACTCTGGAGAGCAATTTGGAACAAAGTCCAAAAGGCTATAAAACTGTGCATACCCTTTGACCCAGCAACATCACTGCTAGGTCTTCTTCCCAGAGAGGTCAAAGACAAGGAGAAAGGACCTATTTGTACAAAAATATTTTAGCAGCTCTTTTTGCAGTGGCAAAGAACTGGAAATTGAGGGGATGCCCATCAATTGGGAAATGGCTCAGCAACTTGTGGTATATGATTGTGATGGAAAACTATTGTGCTATAAGAAATGGTGAGCAGAAAAACCTGGGAAGACTTCTGTGATCTCATGCAAAGTGAAGTGAGCAGAACCAGGAGAACATTGCACAAAGTAACAGCAGCATTGTAAAGATGATCAACTGTGAAAGACTTAGATACCCTGATCAAGACAATAATCCCATACTATTCCAAAGGACCTATAATGAAAAAATGTTATGTACCTCCAGAGAGGGAATTGATGAACTCTGAAGGCAGATTGACTCATACTTTTAAATTTTTCTTTATTTTTATTATTTTATTTGATTTTTGCAACATGGCTAATATGGCAACATGTTTTGCATGACCTCACATGCATAATCAAAATCAAAGTGCTTGCCTTCTCAAGGATGGGGGAGAGAAAAGAGAGAGGAAAAGATTTGGGGACTACATATTTTTAAATTGTTTAAAAAAATTACATATAATTTGGAAATATTTAATTAAATAAAAATATTTTTTAAAAAAGAGTGC